GTAAACTGCATGGAAATGAAAGACCAGAGGAGTTGGAACTCAAAAAGCTTGCTTTAGCACTAAAGACAAAGTCACCAAGTTACATCTTCAGTGCACTTTAGAGGCACGATTATTATTCTTGTTGACACCACAGCTAATATTCCATAATTTGGTGTTTCATTTAATGGGTGCCTAAAACCATGCATGATGCTATTACCAAACAACTTCCTTTCCATGCACAGAACAGACACTTACAGCAAAACAAATCAAATCTGTCTCTCAGATTTTCCATATACAGTTCTAAAATATGTGTTTCCAATAATGATGCCTATTTAAGGAGTGCCTGCAGCCTTCCCTTCTACCATCATGCTTCTGTCTGTGCACCCTTCCTCTCTTTGCCCCATTCCATCTGTGTTTGTAGGACCACACTGGAAATCAATCAAAAACATACCAGGCTTTTAGAGGACTGGTAAAGGAGGGCAGAAAAAGGCGGGGGGCAGGTCATGAAAGAGGAAACATTGACTCGGACCACTCACTCCACTATTCTTTGACTCTGTATACAGTTTACCAATCAGCTTCTACCATTGTTATTTCAACATGGCAAAGGCTGACTCAGGCAAGCAGAGGAAAGAAAAAACCCCCCAGTGCCATTTGAAATCCTGGTTCACCTTCTTTAAATCTTTTCCAATTGTTATGTATCTTGTTTGAGGTGAACAGACTAGACCCAGACACAGTATTCAGGATGCAGATTCAGATGAGTTATAGATGTATGTATACAAGGGCATAACGATGTTCTTATGCCCAAGTATTTCCTATCATATAATTTGTTTCTTTTACTGCTATCAAGATGATGTTTTTATAGAGCTATTTATTATAACCCCAAGATTTCACCTTAGAGTGGCATGTTAGTTGGGATCCTATTTTTTCCATACATATAATTATATAAATCAAATTTATCTATCACTGTATTTACCAAAGTGTCTTTGCAAAGTTCCACCATCAGTTCTGTCTTCACTTTACCCTGAGTAACTTGGGTAACCACTGTTTGGTGTTTGTATTTTGTTCCAAAATAGGTTCTCAGAGTAAACAAAATCTAGTTATGTTTCATTTTGCATTTAAACTATATATGCCAAGTCATTTCTACAAGAAAGGCATACACAGTTTATGTCAGTATCATTTGCAATGCTTAAGCTAGGTTTTCTTAAGCTTCTGCTCTATGTGGGAGATTTTCATTAGCTTTGAGGAAGAAATATCATATTATCAGGTTAGGTAGAAAAAGAAACAATATTCACTTTCAAAAGTTCTTTACAGCTCTGATGCATCTAAATTCACAATCACTACATACAGGTGGGGGGAATAAAACAGAAACAAACTCAAAGCTTCTTCTCATCTACAATGCTCAAATTTTTATATTATTTTCTTATTTTAAAGGAGTACACTTTTAGTTCATAACATGTGCAGAAGGTAACCACTGTCTTTCGCTGTTCCTACCACTTGCTCTGGTAAAATTCCTTCTTCTCTTTAATCATATCACCTGTCTTAACACATACATGTCAGTTAAAGCTCACATGACCATGAGCTTCATTGCATTCTTAAGTGTGTTGATAAAATGAATCTACTTCTAAACTCTGAGTGTCTGTTTTATCATTTTGATAACAATGTCAGAAGTATGATGAACCCTGAATAAATCAGTCAAGGTCAGGCTTAGATAAGCCTCTTCATAATGTGATGATTACAGCTTTTTCTGAACAATTAAATTTGCGCAGACTGCTTCTCAAAACAGACATAAATTTGACAGTGCTGTGCAGTTTGCAACTGCACTTCTGAACTGAATAAATTTCAGTGGAATTTGTACTAGTTGCAGTTTGCTACCACCTTTCACCTACAGTATTACATTCCAAAAGCTATTTCCAAATTTTACTGAAACAGCAGCACTTCATTTACAGTGACAGAGCACTCATGGTTAAGTAGTACAATTCTGGCCTGTTGTGTTGTAACGTCAGATTAAATAATAAAAATTTTTGTACTACATTAAAACCAGGAGGGGATTCATATTCATTTCTGCTCTATCATTTGCAGTTACGGATAAATCAATTTTTAAATTAGAAAGACATTATTTTTTTAATTTATTATTAAATCAAAGGCAATTATTAGCCCACAGAGGTATGTTATGAGAGAGTAAAACTTTTACTATTGTTAAATGGAAATAGTCTGGTCTCAGTCTTAATAAAGAAGCAACGAAGTTAAGAACTATCACAGCCAGCTCAAGACTACCACAAGCAAAAGACATAACATAAAAGTGAGTTAAAAAGGTAAATTGTAGCAAAGAAAATTAGTATCTTAATATCTGTGGCTTTATATAACAATCTCTATTAAAACAAAAACCCCCAACCTACCACCACATCAGTGAGCATGAGAACAGCATCTCACATGACAAATAACCCCGCTCTTTTCTCCTATCAGATAACCTTGAGTATGTTTCAAAACACGATTTCAAAACAGATCTATGTGGCATTCTAATCACACAGACTAAATGCACTGTAAATTACTTGCCAACCTAGCTGATGTCTCCAGCAGATGAAAAATTCTGTTGCTTTAACACTGGCACAAAAAATACTTCCTTTCTCCCCGCAACAACTTCCTTTTTGGCCTAATACATATCACAAAACACTTTTATTCAGTGTACCAATTTGGATGATATAGAAGCAACATAAGAACTAACAACCTTGTACATACAGACTCCAATATACCCTGATCTATCAAACATTGGCATGCATATTTTCTGTATGATAAACCACTATTACAGGATTTACATACCTGTTTTCCTCATTAAATATAACAGAACGGCCCTTTCCACTAATCTTTGATGTAAATTTCTTGTATCCCACCAGCCAATATAAATCTTTCTAGCTTGCAATAATATAAAAAAAATATTTAGCAGGTCAAGCAGTTTCAACTGTACAAAACATGATTTTCACACACACTGCTGGGTATTCCAGATTAATAATAAAACAAATAATTAACATCATATGTGAGATCACAGCAGATCACTACTCATCTAACTCCCTGCAGAGACTGGTTATTCTTTCCTGATAGAGGATATATCAAACTCAACAACTAATCTTGGCCAGCAGGCATAGAGATAATGCTGGCTTCAAAAAATCATTAAGGGTACTAATACTAGTGAGATTTTAAAAAAACCAAACCACCTTCCAATTAAGCATGATAAACGTTTTACTTAAAAACAACAACAAAAATCACTTG